TATCCTTCCAAAACCGGATGTATTGATCGTTGATCGTATATCTCCTAAGTTGACTTCGTTGACCATCTAGCCCCGACAATTGACCTGCAAAATAATCACTAAAAAGAACTAAAAATATATTAGAAGCTCGAGACGCGCTGTCCTAAGTAATTATTTCCGGCATACGGAAATTTCCCCCAAGATATAACGAGCCCTTCGATACAAAACCGGTAACAGAACTAACGAGAAGAAGATTAATATATGAACCCAATAATCATATGAACAAAATATAATTTGTAATATGTCTCTCATGTAAATATACACTTCGTATATGGCTAGTATACTCCCTGACCGAACTCAAAACGTGAGTAGCTCTAGTGAAAACTATCTCTATTAGCTTGACCGCAGGAGAGTTCAATTTATAAACAAGTTGATAAAATTGGCTTTCACCAAAATAATGACTAAATTAATGGCCATTACTAACAGTACGTTTTTCATCATTAAAAGCAATGTATAACGTTAAAAGCAATAATAATTTGTACGTGAAGAGCCATTTTGTAACAGGTTAAAATTATAGTTTAAAATAGTCTTTTGAGTCATAAAATTTTCACAAAATAATAATTAAAAAACTTATTCATTTGAAATATTCAAAAATTTCCAACATTAATAAGTTAATAGTCAACTAACTGTGAATCCACATTGACGTCATGAGTGCAAGTCAATCTTGTGTAAATCGATGATTGAACCAAGTTTTTATAACCCCGGTGCATATGTATTATTGAAGTTTAGATCAGCAAATGATATGGTATCCTATTATGTGAAGACTTTTACTATTCACAAAAATAGTAAGCCTTCAAGACTGGAATTGTATTCACAATACTTCTCTATTTAACATACACTCGAAATTACGTGTTTAATTATCAAACTTGGATTATCTATATCCGATGATCATGTTTTGTCTATAGTCTTTTGGGACTCATTTAACATACGGTTAATTTCGTTAGTTACGAAGATTTCGACTATTTATGGTCTTTTATTTACTTTTTCATACGACTTGAAAAAAACAAGGGAATATGACACTGGAGACTGATTCAAAACCGAGTATGTTTTCATACCAAGCCTTTCTCGGAAACGAGAATTGCATCCGATGCAATTCAAAAAAATGTTTACAATTCTCATTTAGTAAGCCAAAAGTCCAATATATGGACTTAAAGGTATTTGGGTTCCTTAAGATATTAGTCCATCCACTTCTCCACTCTGGAGACTTGCAATGGTATTCATATTTTGGACTTGAGTCGTGAACGAGAATTGTGTATTTTTGCATACAAGTCTTCAGTGTTTTGAAGCTTACTAAATCAACCGAGTCACGAAGATTGACTTAAATTTTGAATACGACATCGGATGATCTCATTTCAAGTTACAATGGGTTCCTTAAAATGTATTGTAAATCACTACCAATTTGGACTTGTGTTTAAGTGACCAGAATTGTGGAGACCCATCAAGTCCCTATGCAACATATTACGATTAATGAATCCAATGATGTTATCCATGTTCAACATATGATTGTATACAAGTTGACAAATGTTTTTACATAGTCAAGTAATATAAATTAAATATGACTAAGCTAGGAGATATAATAGCACTTAAACTATGTAGTTACAAAATAAGTAGTTGTTATATTGTCGTGAGTCATAATCAGTTGCATACGACAAGTGGGTATTACATTATTAATCATACGGGTATCAATCGAGATCATATAAACCCTATGATTATCATGAGATGTTGTAAATACGACTTGAACATATTCATTGTTATCAATTGGATTAAAATTGTAAGTTAATATATGGATTCACGTATGTATGCTACATACGTGGGCTTGTAGACGTATAATACAATACTTGTATATACATGAGTCATATGAATGTGGGTTATATGAGATATAACTTGTTTTCATCATACTTATACTATTCACACTATTACAGTGTGAATAGTATTCAATTATGGTAGTATGTATTAATATATTGTTTAACAGGCTAAATTTTGGTTCACCAAAATTTAAGCATATCGTATTTTTATAATGTGTCCCAATATTGTTACCCTGAGATTACACATGTATATACTAACAATACAATAGTAACAATATTCAAGGAGTATCGTAACATATAAATCAATGAGCAAATCAGTAAAATTGTGTATACTTGAGAGTTAAGAGGATTGATTTGACCACAAAGATTGACTTAAATCCATAATTGAGTAATACTACCGTATTATTCACATGAAAAATGTGACTTGGTGTTTGGACTTGAGACTAATCCGATATTTCGGTTAATTTGACTTAATCAAACATGTACAAGTATAAAATCACACGAGTAAGTCAAGATTGTATCACCACTTATTAAATGGGTCTATATACGATGATCAAATTCACAAATTGAGATCTTTTAAATAATATGAATAGAAAAAAACATACAAGTTTTTCAGGATTGTGTATGCAAAAAATATGTGTCATGGGATCAAAAAAATATACAAGTCTCCAGTGTTTTCAATCTTACTAAATCAAACACTGGAGACTTGTATGTCAATCTGGACTCGTGTTTCGGAGGCTCCAGTGGATCCATTCAGGATAATTAACCGATTGAAGACAAGATTGGAGAATTAATGCCGTAATGGGTTAAATTTACATTGCAAGACTTACAAATGGGTTAAATGAGTTGGTAGTGTAATGGTTGACATACACTAAGCCTGAGAATTGGCTAAACCGATGTTACATCTATTGTATTTTCGACAACCGATATGGAGACTTAAGTGTTATGGGTTCCCTATGACTTGTATAACAAAAATATCGATTACAAATGGGATTGAGTTACAATAGTATTTCTAGGGTAATACTAGATTAAATGTATTCAATACACATATGTTTAAAACAAACATATGGGCCGAGTACATCATACGACTATAATTTTATCTAAGCCAGCTGTATGTTTACAGTTTTAGTAAACTGTACAATAGACCCGATATTTCCAAATATCATATTAAAATATACTCAATTTATGAGTCAATTCATAAATTGATCAACATACACGATTTGATATATTAATCCTATTGTGATAAATGAAATTACACTATAGCCCTGAAGTATATTTTAATAAATGCAATTTATGAGTATAATTATTAGTGGAGATTAGTTCAAACACTTGAAATACAAGTCTATCACATTTTTTGTATAATATCGACTTTACATATAATATACACGAATGGGTAATTTCACTGATAGGTAATACTATCATTACGACCTAATAACATATACGAAGTACTATCGTATTTGGGTACTAAAACATCGTATTAAGTTTGATTACGTCATCTAATGGTCTTACCACGACATTTTAATAAAGTCGTAACAATACATGGGTATTATAGTATGCACCCAATATATGTCATAAATTTTGTCTTTAATTATCGTTTTTCCAGACTACTCGAGATTATCATGTCAAACATTGGGAATCACTACTTGGGTATCCATCAGTATACATTAGTTGTATATCCATACTAATCAACTTATATTGTAATACCTAATGTCCATTAAATTTGTTTAAAATAGGACTTTATAACTAGAATACCCTATTATGTTATCGTGTATAGACACTAATATGTATATATGATTATCATTGTGTATCAATACAACCATGTCCCCTATATTACATACAATAGGGTTGGTGACAACCTATTCACTTGATAATAAGACACAATTCACTTTGAATACTTGGTATCTATAAATAATTGTACATACATTGGAATCTTATAATATTTAGGTTCAACGCAGTTTATAGGGACTACACTCTTATTATGAGTGTAGTCCCTCATAATATTATTGATCCATCGAGCCTAAATATTAAGTGGTTTACACACTAAATGTGTAACTACCCTCTAAATAATTAAGACTCACAACTGAATAGTAATCTATGTTCAACCGAGTACATTATATTGTAATCGGGCAACAATTTATAATGGCTATATATTATAAAGTCATTCCATATGTTGAGACTTGTATTTGCAAGTCTCGACATAGGATGATTGTATACAACTCCCAAACTCTAATTGTCGTTCAACTCGAATTTTTTAGTGAACCGAGTCCAATTCTGAAAATATGACTATGTGACTTGAAAACATAGGATTTTTCTAGAGCAACCCATTGCCAATCTTAAATCAACGAGTTGCACATTTAAGCCAAAATTTACGAATCCGATTTTGGCTTAAATTTAAGCCAAGTCCAAATTATGAATAGAAAAAAACATACAATTCTCCAGTGTTTAAATTCAAAACATATGAATCGGCAATGAAGCCTGACTCGTTCACTTTGAAATAAATATACTAATGGGTTTGTCTCTAGACTTAAGTAAAACATCCTTGTATGATCTCATTTCCAAGTCTAGAATTGGAGATAAAATACACAATTCTCATTTTTCTAGAATTGTGTATGTTTTTCTTAAACATAACTCTTTTATGTTTAAACATACAAGTCTCCAGTGCTTTGGATCTCATTACCCATTGCAAGTATCTCAAATTTAAGCCAATCATTGAATATGGGTGTGCAATCTTCGTATTTTGTATACGAAGATTGACAAATTCTCGTTGATTTAGTGGACTTGATGTCGTTAATATGAAGATTGACTTGCAATACATTTTGAATTGGACTTTCAACAATGAATTGAGTCGTTTTACTTCTGAGATCACAATACAATTTAAAAACAACTGACTTGTGATATATCATCCGATTCTCGTATGACACTAAGTGATTTTGGAGTGGAAATACAATTCTATTTCGAGTCCAATGTGTATATGAATTTGAATACGACTTCCGTATTCACTGGGAGACTTGTTAAGTAAAATATAGTAAGCCTAGTTTAGTCGATCTTACTTTTGTGCATCTCAGATCATTACTTGTGTCCAATTAATTCCCTGCCATTTTTAATGGGGTACTAATTGGAGTGATATGTTACCCATTACACTCAAGTTTGTAATGGGTTAGATACAAACGACTGGAGATTGAGTGTACATGTAATGGTTCACGGGTGAGAACACAAGAATAAACACACATACGAATTACATAGTGAAATCAGTCCAAAATGGGTTCCCTATACAAAAATACACAATTCACATTCAATGGGTTCAGAATTTGCATAGGTTTTTTCTGAAAAATGGTATTAGCCATTTTGTTAATAAATTTTAGGCTAACTAAATCATCCGATGTCATATTTCAAGTCAATTACGACAATTTTATAACTATTGAATTCGACATCGGATGATCTCATTTAGAGTTGCAATAGGTTCCCTATGCAAAAATACACAATTCTCGTTCAAGACTCAAGTCCAAAATATGAATAGAAAAAAACATACACACTTTAATCACCTATGCAAAAATACACATACAATAACTTCTAGCCAAGTACATACACTATACTTGCATACGACACAAGTCCATTTAGAGTAGTCATTCAATATTCTCTTCCAACTGGAGTCTTAAACACATCCCAGTTAACCGTAACATACAAGACTTTTACATAGAAGTCTCAAGTCCAAAAAAGATACAAGTCTAATTAAAAAATACACCCATTATTACGGTCAATAAATTTGTCATAAAACACAATAAGTAGTCGGTCATATTTATTACACTTGAGACTCGGTTTACGAAATTAGTAAGCCACAAAAAACTCAAATTATTTTTGTTATCCAAATTGTAAGACTTGTATTCAAATTCACAATCTGAAAAAACATACAAGTTTTCAGTGTTTTGAGGTTTACAGCTTACTAAATCAACCGAGTCACGAAAATTGACTTAAATTTTGAGTACGACATCGAATGATCTCATTTCGAGTTGCAATGAGTTCCCTATGCAAAAATACACAATTCTCGTGCAGGACTCAAGTCCAAATTATGAATAGAAAACAACATACAAGTCTTCAGTGTTTTTCAGGCTTACTAAATCAACCGAGTCACGAAGATTGACTTAAAAAACGAATACGGCATCAGATGATCTCATTTCGAGTTGTAATGGGTTCCCTATGCAAAAATACACAATTCTCGTTCACGACTCAATTCCAAATTATGAATAGAAAAAAGCATACAAGTCTTTCGTGTTTTTCAAATTTACTAAATCAACCGAGTCATGAATATTGGCTTAAAAGTGATGAAATCATAGATAAAGCAATTGCACCGGCTGCCACGGTCGAGGAGGTTAACAAGGAGGCTATAGAGATTACCAACGACAATGGGCCGCACAACCCTGTTGTGGAGAGCTCTTCTGCCGAGCCTGCAACTGCTGTGAAAGATGAGGCTGAGGAGAAGTTGATTATACCGGAGTCTACTGTGGCGGAAGAGACTGAAAGTGAGAGCTCAGGATATAGATCGTTTGAGACCGACAATGGATCGGGGGAGGAGGACCTGAGCCAGACAGATACTGCGGACTTTGATGAAGTTTATATGGACGGTAAGGTTTTTATGATTAGGAAAGAGGATAATGTGAACAGAAATAGAATGATAAGGAGAATTCCAGGTTTAAGTTGGGAGGAAACATTTGTTAAAAAGAAGATTGCTCTTGCAAATCTTTTTAAGGGTAGGACAAATGGGAAGAAAAAGAAAAAAGGTTGGACTAGACCATCCAAAGGGTGACCCTTTTTGGAAACTCTGATTGGAATTAGGGGAAAGAAGTGCTATGATTAATGGGCTGGGAGTGTACTTAGCTGCTAGTTCGCTACTTAGCTGTAGTAGTTCGCATGAGAGTTTTACTGGGATGCTGCGTATTCACTCGCAGCTGCTTGTTTTTTCCGTTCGCTGGGAAGCAAGTATAAATGGGGTGATTTACCAAAAAGGGGGAAAAGGGGGTTGGGGTTGCCAAAAAACGGGGATTTTTTAGGGTTTACCAAAAAGGGGGAGTCGGAACTGCGTGTTCCGACCAGGTTGTAGGGTTAAAAAAAATTCTTCCCACTAGTCGGATTAGGGAGTTCCGACTAGATTTAATTTTTTTTTTTTCGAAATTTGTTTTTGAATTTGAGTTTGTAAAAAATAAAAATGTTAGGGCTAAATTATATCAATTCCAAATTTAAAATTTCTTTTAGATTCATGACATATTTTTAACATGAAAACTTAGCATTATTATTTTTTTACTAAGAAAACAATTGATTGCTTTAAATTGTTTTTTAATCCATTTGTATTGTGAATTTAGTTTTAATTGCAATTTGTAATTTTAAGTGCAATTTTGATTTACTCCATTCGTCTAATTAGATAAAAATTTGATTTTGTTTTAAGTGAAATTTTTTTGTAATTTTAATGGAAGTGAACAAAACAAATGTAGTTTTCAATGTAATTTATTAATGAATAGACAGTACATACAATATTAAATTTAATACTACATCTAATTTAGCGTGCTCCGCCCTGCTCTGTCCCCACCGCCAGTGTTCCAAGGCCCCGTTGTGTCTCCATAGTAAATAGACGAATTCAAATAAAATTCAGATAGAGTAGAATAAAGATTTAGTAGTTATAAAATTGAGATCAAATAATATCTATTTATAAGTGCTAGCCGAGGAACAATAATTGAAAGAGAGGAGCTCGAACAATAATGGAGAACTGCCAGTCGGATTTGGCAGTTTGAGGGGCCCTTCTCCCTGTCGGATTTCGGAATTCCGACTCGAGCGGAGTCGTTGATGGTGATCCGCGTAGTTTAATCCAACGGTTAGGATCGAAAAAAATGTGTTTCCTTTGGTCGAGTTAGGTAGAAATAAAGTGTATTGAATAATTTAGTTTACCGACAACTTAAATTTTATCTGATAAAATTTATGTGATTATATTTATCTGATGAAATTTGAGGTTATTTAAATTATCTTATTAAATTTTATCTGATAAACATAGGAAGGTCATTATATGACGCCTCCCAATTGCCGAATTTACGCTCCAGAGCGATCAAGCGTCCATTCCAAGCTTTTTTATATGAAACATGGATATCAAATTTTTGATATATGTCTGACATTATCAGTTTAATGCTGTAGTCCGGGTCGACTTTCACTTTTGGAGCGATTTCACTCGCTATGAGCTTGGCTGTTAGGATCTTATCATCCCGAGCCGTGACAAGATCCTCCCTACAACTGTGATGGGGTTGATATTTTTTTACTTTCCACTTTGTTGAAGTCATACCTGCTGCTGCTTGGATATGCCAAGTGCAAAAGGTCGGGTTTATGCAAACCGCCTTCCAGGACCGTGCCCTTTTGTCAACCGATTGGAATTGACGAAATTGACGAATGTTTTCTCTCGCCACCGCTTCTTTGAGTGCATCATATGACGGGTAAACTGCGCCGACTTCGATCCTTTCGGGCTCAGAATCTAGCTCATATGGTTCTTCTAGCTCTACATTGGCCCAGGTGGTGTCTACTTCATCGTCTGCATCATCCCTCGTGGATGAATCCACATCATCACAAAAACCTTGTTCATAATTTGGATCGTCCGACTCTTCACCTGAGTCTGCATGAATTCATATGACTTAATGGGTTAGATTTTGTTTAAAGGCGTTATATTATAAAATGTGAGTTTATCTAATTGAATGAGTTAAAAATTACTAAAATAAATACTTGTAAACCAAATAAATTTTTTATCGAATATAAAATTTCTTAAAATAATAATGTAACAATATAACTATAAAAAATTTAAATTATATAGTTTTTTAAAATAAAACAAAATAGGCAGCAGGAAGATTTTTTTTAATTATAAAACAGCTTTTTAAATTAAACACCCCCCTAGTCGGAATTGCTCTATCCGACAGGAAGATTTTTTATTTTTTTTACATTTTAATTCAACAGCAGTTAAAACTGGATTCAATACACTAATAAAGATAAAGGAAATAATGAATTTGTACAGATATGGTTTGGAGAGAATAATGAATTTGGTAGATGCGGTGGATGCGAGAAATATAAAAAATTTGCATATTACTAAATCTACTACGTCTACACTCCTAAAAAACCTAATTAAGACAAATTATAAGTTAGCGATCTATGTATAGCTTTTTTAACGACGTGATACTATCTCCGTCTAAATCAATATCGTAAATATATAATTAATATAAGTAATATATAAATCACATATAAGTAATTAGGTACGTGTAATATTATTATAAAGATATTAAATTAAACCGTTATTAATTAGCCTAATTATGCATAATATTAGTATTATTTAATATATTATACTCCATATAATATATACTTGTATGATAGGATAAGTATATAATTCACTAACTAATACATATATTACTAATATCAGTGATATATACTCATTAACTCATTATGCCAATTTAACTAATATTTACGAATTACTAAATTAACTACTTCTACACTCTTAAAATGATAACAAATAAAATCAAATCATTGTAAATTCTACTTAACTTGAACAATACATACCGGGAGATTCATAGTTCTGAAACATTTGGCGGTTGTTCCTTCGATCATATATTGATGATGGGCCTTCCTCTGCGGGAGTTCCGTGGAATGCCAAATTTTGTGGCGGGGTCGCTGAAGCTTCCACGTAAATGTGCAACTCCTCATACTCATTTGTAGCGATCAGGAAAAAATGACGCCATGTCCGCTCATCGTGAATGGGCCATAATCTAGAAGCAACATATACTGAATTCTTATACTTTGGCAATTTTCCGTGAATTAATTTAATTTCGGAAAATCCGTCGCCTCTAACATGATTTAGAACTTTCTCATGTATAGTAGTATAATCATTTCCTTTACTAACCCATAGTACCGCCCTAGGAGGTATCGAGTACTCTATTTCATCATCTTTTTGAGATGTAGAGCCATTCCAATGAACCATAACAACAATATTACCCTCACTAGACATTTTTATATATGGTATATATTATAAATATAATATGAGAGGAGATTGCTAAACAAAAAAAAACAATGAATATATTAAAGTGTTTTGGGTGAATATGGTATGTGCGACCGTATGTTAAGAAAGAAACAAGTGTTTTAGGAGTGTGTTTGTAAATTTTGAGAAGAAATGAATGGTTTTTATAGAGTTATTAGTGTACGATTTTGGTGAAATACTCGAACCACAATCAAACACCTCACATCCCCTAGTCGGATTCCCCAATTCCGACTAGGTATTTGAATTTATTAAAGTGACATTTATTAATTAAAGCAATACAATTTTTTGACTTGGGGAATACCCTAGTCGGATTCCCCAATTCCGACTAGGTAGGTAGTTGGATGTTTTTTTTTAATTAGAGTCCGATTTATTAAAGAAAGAAATCCATTTTTTTTTAAAAAAAATATACCCTAGTCGGATTCCCCAATTCCGACTAGGCAGCTGGATTTTTTTTTTAAAATTACAACCGATTTATTAAACAAAGGAATACAATTTTTTTTAAAAAATAATACCCTAGTCGGATTCCCCAATTCCGACTAGGTACTTGATTTTTTTTAAAATTAGAGTACCATTTATAAATTAGAGTCAATTTAGGATTGCAATTTTTTTTAAAATAAAATACCCTAGTCGGAATTGGAGAATCCGACTAGGTAGTTACTTTTTTTTTTTTAAATTAGACTCGATTTATTAAAAGAACGAATACAATATTTTTTGAAAAAAAAATACCCTAGTCGGAATTGGGGAATCCGACTAGGTAGTTAGATTTTTTTTTTAAATTAGACTCGATTTATTAAAAGAATGAATACAATTTTTTTTTTTAAAATACCCTAGTCGGATTCCCCAATTCTGACTAGGTAGTGGGATTTTTTTTAAAAAAAAATTACTCTAGTCGGATTCCCCAATTCCGACTAGGTAGGTATGGATTTTTTCGCAGCCTAATCTCCAGTCGGAATTGGGGAATCCGACTTACGTTTGGCATGTTCGAACGTCCCGTTTTTTGGTAATTCCTTCGTATAAATGGGCCACTGACGTTGATATGATGATTTGGAATATGGTTGAGGCCGTTTTCTTCTTATTTTTTTTACCTTTGAGCAGTTTGACTGGGGAGTGTCCCATTGTTCTTGTGATATGTTATACTACACAAGTTAATTGCACCCAAGCCTGAATACGATGATTGTATGAACGATAATACCAATCTTGTTAAGTTTTCTTCGGAACTTGATTATCCGGTACAAAAATACATGTTTTGACATCAGTGTAAATTTAAGTTGAATACATATGTCGTATAGGGAAAATTGTCAACTTGTATTCACTGCCAACGACTTGCAATTGACTTAAATTTACAATTTTTAATTTGGACCCATTAAATATAAGCCAATGATACACGTGTAATTTCCGTATTTATGTTTGCAGTTTTAGTACCTTTTGTAGTTTAGCATTTCGGAAATTACACACTTTTGGTGTAACAGTTTAGTTCATTTTAATTCTTGTAAAATGTTTAGATTAGGTTTATTCTGGGCTCAAACAGGTCTGTCATCGCTCAAAGGATAGTTGGTGAACCCCAAAAGTGGAAAAAAGGTGCAAAAATCACAAGACAAAAAGGAAATCCTGATTTTGTTCTATACTCGGTCGAGTATATACATATACTCGATCGAGTATCTGGTTGAAATTTCAAATCATATCGGATCCGAAAACAAAAGAACATGCAGGAGAAGATTTTCCCACGATCGAGTGTCTATACCCGATCGGGTACACCGACATACTCGATCGGGTATAGCTATGGCTTTTACTCGAGTCTCGATCGAGTATGGACCGAATTCCAGTTTCTACACATACTCGATCGAGTATATGTATATACTCGATCGAGTACCCGACCTGCACCTCAAAAAGTCTATAAATACACCTCCTTTCCTCCACTTTTAGACACCAATTCCTTTATACTCTTAAGCTCAGTTTAGAATAGAATTTCTCTATATTTCTTTTAGCATGTTTAGTCTCCAAATGAGGAGCTAAACTTCCATTTCTTGGTTTTGCTCTTGAAGCTTGATTGATTATTAAAGTTGTGAGTTATTTTCTTACCTTCTCCTCTTGATTATTAATTCTTCCCTTAATCTCATTCTATATCATTGTTGGAGGGTGGCTAAGTGACGATTAGTTAACGTTCCGACATTGATTATTACTAGAAACGATCAACGAACCGATGGTTAAACGTTGATAGTTTCACAAGTAAGTAACTTCGGTTTATTAATGCACGGTCGTGGTTAATAAACTTAAGAGGGGTTAATTTTGTTGGTTAAACCGAAACCGTTGTGTTGAGGTTATCAATCTCAATTGATTTCATCAAGGAGTTAAAGAGGTTAAATGCTACTATTAAATCGATATACGGCGTTGTTCTATATTTTGTTAATAGTAAGGGTTATTAATGAATGGTCGTTGTTAATAACTACCCTTGATGAATTGGATATACTCCTCGATTGAGTATTCGAGAGGGGATAGGTTATAGATATAACAATGATCGACTAAAATATATCAACAAGTGGAAAGTAGCAAGACCAAGTCCCTTTATTCTTGAATTTAATCCCATATAACTCGTTCATCTTCGTGTTTAATTTAATTAAATCATTCAACAATCAAAACCCCCTTTACTTATTATTTACATAAAAAGAAAGTTATTCCTTTCCCTGTGGATACGAACTCTACTTCACCTATACTACGTATAAGTGTTAGTATCGATTTATTTTGAGTGCACTCACGACAAAGTGCACGTCAAATTTGGCGCCGTTGCCAGGGAAAGGCAATTAATTTTTTTTTCTTTTTATTTTATTTTAAGAAAAAGAAAAAAATATGGTTCAAGTATAAAGATTTCTATTTCTGCTGAGCTTTGTAGTACATGGTAAAATATCGTTCATTGAACGAAATCACATACCACTCAAACCCCGAAATAGAACGAACTCTCGAGCGGTTGAAAAACAAATTTTCAAACTCCGACTCGGGAGAATCATCAAGTGCTAGTTCTCAATCTAGCGAGACCGAAGAGCCAATCACTATGGCTCATGAAACAAGAACATTGAGGGAGCTCACAGCTCCGAATCTAAATCAACAACCCCTATGTGTCACTTTTCCAACTCTTGATACGGGGGTCACATTCGAGCTTAAATCTGGGCTCATCCATCTACTCCCCTCTTTTCATGGCCTACGAGGGGAAGATCCGAACAAACACTTGTCGGAATTCCATATTGTGTGCACGAGCATGTGCCCCAATGGCGTGTCCGAGGAACAAATCAAGTTAAGGGCTTTCCCTTTCTCTTTAAAAGATACCGCGAAGGATTGGCTTTTTTATCTTCCTTCGGGTAGCATCAACACATGGGCTCAAATGAAAAAGAGCTTCCTCGACAGGTATTATCCCGCATCTATCTCTTCAAGTCTCAAAAAGCAAATTATCAACATTGAGCAAGCAGATGATGAGACCTTGTACGAATATTGGGAGCGCTTTAAAAAACTATGCGCTAGTTGCCCATATCATGGGTATTCGGAACAAGATCTCATCCTCTACTTCTATGATGGGCTTGTTGATCAAGATAGACGCATGGTGAATGCGGCATGCGGAGGGGGTATTGTCAACAAAACCCCCTCCCAAGCAAGAGACCTCATTTCGGAATTAGCCGAAAACTCAAGACATTACAATGGGAGGTCATCATCAAAAAGAGTTATGGCAGCAGAATCCAATAACTCGTTGGAAAGTCAAGTGGCCGGCTTGACTTCTTTGGTCAAAGATTTTCTTTTGAGTCCAAAAACCCAAGAAGTCAAGGTCTGCGGCATATGCTCGACACAAGGGCATCACACCGATTCCTGCCCAACATTACAAGAGGAGAACCCCGAGCAAGTCAATGCTTTGGGTTTCCAAGGTCAAAGAAGATATGATCCTCACGGCAACACTTACAATCCGGGGTGGAGGGATAATCCCAATTTAAGGTACGGAAACTCTCAACCTCCTCAACAATACAAACAACAGGGTCAAACATCGAACTCGAGCATGTCCACCGAAGACATGATTCGATCACTTGCCATGAACATGGCTACGATGCAGCAAAGTGTGACCCAATTTCAAGAAACCACAAAATCTAGCATCCACAACTTGGAGAGTCAAATCAGCCAAATCTCAAATGCCGTGAGTAGGCTTGAAGCTAAGGATTCGGCAAAACTCCCATCTCAAACGGAGCCGAATCCAAGGCAACAAGCTCACGCGGTCACTTTGAGAAGTGGCAAAGAATTGGTTATGGCTAAAGCAAAAGCAAAGAGCCATGTTGGAGAGGAAGAGGAGGATATCTTGGTGCCAAGCACAAATCCTCCAAATGAAGAGGAGAAAGAAGAGGAGGTCACACCTCAAAGGAAATTCCCACCACTCGATTCATACGAGCCGGTGCCACCTTTTCCGGAGGCTCTCAAGGACAACCGCAAATACAACAATGACAAGGACATCTATGAGACCTTCAGCAAATGTGAGGTAAATATCCCTCTTCTCAACTTAATTAAAGGTGTTCCTAGATTTGCCAAGTTTTTAAAAGAACTTTGCACAATTAAAAGGAAACACAAATTAAATGCCAAGCATAAAATCCAAGTTAGCGAAAGAGTTTCAGCCGTTTTCCAAAAGAAACTTCCTAAAAAGTATAGTGACCCGGGAATGTTCACTATACCATGTAAACTAGGAAATTCTAGTTTTTCTAGGGCTATGTTAGATTTGGGAGCATCAATTAATGTCATCCCATATT